GAAAATAAGGCGTTAAAATTTTCATGATCGTAAAATGGGTCATGTAACATATTCTTCTAAGGATTACTATCCATTGGGAGTAGTAAACTATGTGTATATATAGTATACGGCTATAGTTTGACCGCCACGTGTACGATGTGACGTCACACTTCCAAGATGGAAGCCTTTTTACTCTCGAGAGGTTAGTTACTATGCGAGCGTGTATTGATGTGTGACACACATTTAAAATGTCACGTCTTTAATGTGCAAAAGGGGTAAGTAGATATAGACTAGTGGACATGTTTAAAGTTTCGAATAATTTATAAACCCGGCGATATTCAAACAAGACACCATGTATTTTGTCTCACATAGAGATAAGGGAGAGGCTAGCTACATTATTTATATAGCTAGGCCTCTTTTAAGGGGGGAAAATCACCGAATCAGACGACGAGTGTCAGACTCTTACTGACTAAAATCACCCCGTTCCTACTCCTGCACGTCGAGCCGGAGCCCCGGTAACCCGTTAGGTTGTCCGCGACTCCGCTTAACGGCCCTTCACATTCCACGCCTGTGCCTTTAGCCAAACGCCACTTTAGCGCTTGTCTGGGTTTTTTCAAAAGTTCCCATTAGTAGCACGGGGTCTGGAATTGTGCCCGGTATATGGCAATAGGCTCACCTCCTATTACATGCGATTCATAACATAAATAGTGAAAAGTGGGTGTTACATTGTACAGTAGCATTAATTGCCGTAATGTGCACCTTTGCCTATCCCCTTCGGGGATAAAAGGCATGATGTTATGTGTGAGTATTATAAATATAAAACCTTTTAATCTATAATACTGGTTACGTGATCTACTACTCGTGCGCCATATTGTGAGATCAGACACTGCAGCCATGCGGTATGTCAGGTCATCAAATTATTTACTACCAACCTGCTGAAATGATAACTGCTTACCCTACTTCTGAGTGAATGTTGAAATATTTGATGAAAGATTTATCTAGAGCATGTGGTTTTGGTGGAAAATATTTATTTCTGAGTAGTTCTTAAGCATATTGGTGCCTACTTAAGGATAATATAGTTGTAGTATATTACACATTTATGTCAATTAGAAGGTAGTTCAATACATGTACAGGGGTAGTCTAAGCATTATTAGAGTTTTTTACTATCGGATCGGGTAGAAAGTAAGAACTTTCTGGGAGACTGTATGCTGAAGTTCATAAAACAAATGATCTTCTTACACCATCTCAATCTGATAGAATATTACATAAAAAGGATTTAAAAATAACGGAACTACATACTTAAATCATGATATAAATAAACATGAAATGTCAGTACGAACCAGATTGTATAAATATTAGCTATGAGCGTTGTACGGAATGATATGAAAAATAAATGTATATTTATTTTGTGTCGTGTTATGTATGTACTTTAATCTGTCAAACACCAAGCGGTCACCGGTGACCGCGACCTATTGTTCTTTAATTGTGTCTATAAAACCGGTACTCGACGAGTTAATTAATTAATACAAACATGTAGCTATTATTATCTACTGAAAAACAAATTACCCACTATCAACACGAGGGTATAAGAAGAGGGAATGGGTATAATATTACCTACTTGATGATTAATGTTTTCCCACAGGTATAAACAGAGTAAATCGTTTTGGTTTCATTATAGGCCACAATTCAAATTTCGAAAAATAATTAGTAAATATGTAGATATAGGACATGTGTGATCGATATTTCAGTTTTGCTAAACAATATACGTGAGAAAGTAAGTAAATAAAGGTTGGCATAAGTGGCTGGGCAACCGGCCACGCAGCCACGCAACGTGTAGCGGGTTTGATTCTTGCACGGAGCATTTATATATGAACTTGTATGTTTGTAAACGCATCCAGGACACAGAAGAAAATACTAGAGCCACATAATTTGGTTAAAAATCAATATAAACAAAAACATAAGAAACATTTACTGGTTCTAAAGGGATACGTACACGTTCTTAATTCTATTCTTAAGTATCTATTCTTAAGTAGGAGAGAAAAGGAAACGTGTGTTTAATTCACGTATAAAAACTAAATATTGTATTGATATTTAATTCTAAACTGGGCTAGAGAATCAACCCTATTAATCTGATCGGACAGTTTTGGCTGTTGACAAAGACTACATTTCTTTCTTTCAGATAACAATAACAAAAGAAATATGCTCAAAGAATCCATGCAGTCTTAACATCTTGACATTAAAAACCATAAACAAAGTAGTGTTTAGCATAAACACTATGTTTGTGACCTAGATCCTGATGAAACAATGGTTTGTCGTAGTTGATTCTATCTCGTTAATTGTTTTCCATGGCTGTTCTAAGGGGCCTTGGACATCAAGGGATCGTCCTATCAAACTGTTTAGATATTACCATGTTAAGATGGTTCCCCCCATGTACCACTATTGTACCTTCAGGACTTTTGGGAACTGTTTTGAAAATGTACTGTTTAGTTAAATCAGATAGACTTAAGTTAATATACAACATGTAACGTAATTAACGCACACCCTCAAACACCCCAATTAGAATATTATGTTATAATTCATAATACATACACTAAATTTTTAATTTAACATGTATATGCATCCTTACATAAGGTCTTGTCATAGGGTTTATTTTTCTTTATTTTGTATCGAATGATAGAATTTGTATGAATACAAATAAAACTGCGATTTTAAAAGTCTTATTGCTTTGAATTACGGTCCATTTCAATTTGTTTTAGTAATACAGGGTTAATATGTCAATAATTTCCGTAGTTTTAATTATTTTTGGGATAAAAAATTACCTATTTAAAAGATTATATAAATCGATTCAGTTAACGATTCTGAACAAACTATTTTCAAGATCTGCGTTATTTAAGTTACATGTTGTATAAGACAGTTAATAGCTATGGTCAATAGATTGGAAACTATAAAAAATAAACCATTATGAATACAGTTTACCAAAAAATATTTCAGAAATCATTACATAAAAAGAGAGAAAAGAGATCTGTTAAGACTACAAGAAGCCTTCATAAGACGGCATTTAGGACAACACTAAACCTCGGCTTATTTAACCTAAAAAATCTAAAGAACAGTAACACATGTTAGTTTAAACAATATATCATTACCGTCCTACATATTTTGAATGAAATAAAGCTCTGTGCAAACATGTCAAACGTTGATGTTCAAACAATGCTATCGTGTCACCGCTACGAGAATAGTCTGCAGTGTGACGCCACCCTTATCAGCGGACAACTTTGTCATGTGAGACGAAACACACAGGGCTTGATGCAAAACAGGAAATTATCATCAATGTTGTTGTAACCGAGATTCATTTTATTTAACATAACACCACGCCTTTTATCCCCGAAGGGGTAGGCAGAGGTGCACATTACAGCACTTAATGCCACACTGTACACCCACTTTTCACTATTTATGTTATGAGTCCCATGTAATAGAGGGTGAGCCTATTGCCATATACCGGGCACATTTCCAGACTCCGTGCTACTACTGAGGTTTTTACAAACCCTGTAATACTTTGCCCGACCCTGGAATCGAATCCGAGACCCTTTGCCCGGCAGTCGCACTTGCGACCACTCGGCCAATAAGGCAGTTATTTTATTTACTTTAATAATAATTGAAAACGTAAAACGTAATTGGTGAACAATCTTCACAACCCATGCAAGTTCTCTGCTAATTAATGGGTCTCGATTTCTTAAGAGGGTTTGCCATAATCTTCGTTTTTGACAGATAGGTTAAAGATCGCAGTTAAAATAATTATTGAATATTTATAAAAACCGACTTCAATCGGCACGAATGGACCGGCTCCACCGGAGTGATACCACCACAGCCTCACAGAAAGCCGACGTAAAGCAACGCTTGCGTTGTGTTTCGTCGTGTGAGTTAGGTTACCGGAGGCCCAATTATCCTCCCCTCCCCCAATCTCCCCAATTCCTGAATCCCCAACGATCCTCAAACTCCTAATCCCCAAAAGGCCGGTAACGCACTTGTAACGCCTCTGGTGTTCCAGGTGTCCATGGGCGACGCCGATTGCTTACCATCAGGTGATCCGTCTGCTCGTTTACCGGCTAATGCCATAAAAAAAATTCAGTACCCCAGTATGACGTGTGCAAAGTGATGAAAAGTGAGTGTGCCATTTATACATACATCTGCCCATACACGAACGTTAAGCTAATGCTATATTAAGTATTTTCTTAAAATAGATAGCATTGTTAGTCATGCGCAGTAGTAAAATAGAAACCATGGGTGGTACAACGTAGTAATATTTTATATTTTCTGTGTGAACACTACAAACATGTCGTAGTTTACACGATTTATTGATTATTACTCATTGTTATTCCTTTAGGCTGTTTGACGTAAGAAGCAGTGCATTTCCTGTACCAAAATAGTGTTCAAAGATTTAGGAGGCCGAGAACGAATTCCGTATAATCGTTTTTACCACTTACCTTGTTTGGTGATTTGGTGGTGATGACGTCGCCCACAGTTAACCGTTGAATAATTCAGCAACGCATTCACTCTGCCTAAAATAGGACTTATCCTAAATTAGGCAGAGAAAATGAGTTGCTTAGGTCAGGACCTAAACTTGTTTACAACACTATATTAAACAACATGGAAAAATCAACTTTCAGTAGTTTATGAAGTATTGATGCGTTGAAACTGATCATGTTCGATGAGATTGTCGTTTGAAGGTGCTAACTGCAAAGGCGGTTGGCGGATGATACATGTGCAGGTATCTATACGTTTTAGTTCACAACTGAGCTTAAATAGAACCGTTTCAAAGATCAGATCGATTCCCTTGCTAGAATCGATACATCCGATTCGATCCGATCCGATTAACAAAACGAATAAAAATCCGTGAATGTTTGTTTTTTCTACATAGCCAGCTACGCTACTGGCATAGGCCCATCTAAGACCTAATCATTAGTATAGTCATCGTTCAATCCTTTAAGGTCATTCTGCTTTTTAAAAATGAGTTAACTAAGTACTTACTGGTCTTGGTTGTCGATGCGCGGTCTCCGTTCATAAGGCTGTCGTTGATTGGCTGGCGCGAGCAGGCGCTGCGTGTCGGGTGCGCACGCGCGGGCAAACGCTGCAGCCGCTTCCACTGCCGCCTCCTCGTCGTACGTCGACGTGTCATCTTCAGCTGATGGACAATGGGTAACTTAAGTTAGCGTGTAAGCAAGACTTCAATTTTAATGGGACATGTGGGTACTGAATAGTCATTGCATTTTGTTCTATTTCATTTCCATTACATTCAATGTCCTTTGAGACAAGCTCTATCAATTCATTTCCTTTAGTTCCTGGAACTATTTATTTGAATATTTTCAAATAGTTCATTGGTTAAAGGTATATGTGTTATGTTATTTACATATACATTATTATACCTATACAGTCAAAAAAAGGTGAACAAAAAAGGTTAAGTCAAAAAGATGGCTTGAGTTTCAAAACAAATTGGCTTGACTGCACAGTTGTCGCGGTGGTTGGGCAACCGGCTGCCACGCAACATGCCACGGATTCGATTCCAGCACGGAACAACTGTTTGTGTGATCCACAGATTGTTGTTCCGGGTCTGAGTGTAATGTGTATGTGAAATTGTTTGTTTGTAAACAAACACACCCACGAAACGGGAGAATTTCCAAGTGAGGGGCGACGTTTAAAAAAAAATCTTATTGTGTTTCAAATTCCTATCGTTTTATGAGTAACACCTATTATGTACCTAATATTCTATTAAAGGAAAACAAAGTCATGTGTGACGAAAATCTGCAATGCGCAAACGTGTTGAGATAACAGTAGTATAAACTTCCATGGTGGGTTTATAGATAACTGACGAGTGACATAATCAAATTATCAGGGCAAACATTTTTAGTACTCCTTTCTTTAATTAGCACTTACCTATTTAGTTAGTTTTTAGTTAAGGCTTTAATTATTATGCTGTATCTTCCTCATAGTAAAACTGTGCAGAAAAATGACGCGTAAATATAAATAAATAAAGGTAAGGTAGTCAACAAAAGATTATATTTTTGTATGGGTCTTTGGTATAAAAATAGTAATAAATAAAAATATTATTTGGAACAATAAAATTCACAATATTTAATTTATGATACTAAAATAATATTGTCTTAAGCGTAACATCCCTTAAACTTACGATCGTATTCAAACGCTTCGTTGTACATCCTTATCTATGACAGCTTCCGAACGTAACCATAAACAAAACAAGATGGCGTCTTGGCGGGAAACAGCTGTCAGTTCGCAAGCATTGTTTCAGTTCAATTACAAACAACAATGTGGCCCACATTTCATTATTTTGACATAACTGTGTTGTAAATGAAAAATGTAGTTTAATTTTTTAGAGGTCAAAGTTTTCATTTCACTTTATTTTGAAACACACTGGAAAAATATGTTCATATTTCACTAACAATTAGTTAAAGAAAAACTTCTTAGCACTCTCATTTTCCTGTGATTAAAAAAAATATGCAGCACTTATCACATTTTTATAATTTTCGCGACATGAAAATAAATGAACACTGATTTGTTTTCGTCTCGGCTCACTAGTTTTAATCTGAACACAAAAATTGAAATTAGTCATTTATTTTTAACAATAATTAAAGGAAAATCGTTTCTAACTGTATACACATATGAGTATGTTTTGCGTGCACTTGCACTTGACTAGAGGAATACTATCTTAACCGACTGCGGCGTAAACGTAATGTGTAACTTTGTCAAGGAGATCAGTGAAAATGAGCCGAAATTGTGAGATGTCTGTACACACTACATTAGATAGCTGTGTACAGGCAAGTAAGGTATGTCTTGTACAATGATCAAGTTACAATTTTGTATTATTATTTATAATCAACATTACCTGTTTATTTGTTTTACTATTAAGTGTATTTCTTTTGCGTTGGCATTTGTAGAGAAAAGTTTAAAGATCCGTTTCTTGTAATGTATTATGTTTATTATAAACTATCCTATGAGTATAAACTAAAATTTGTATGAAATCTAAAGAAATGTGTTTAATTTATTTACAGAAAAGAGCCCAGGTGCATAATCAACAAAGGAATTAAACTCCATAAGCATTAAAGACATTTTGTTACATTATTTACTTACTTATTTTTTACCCAATTACGATAGTGGCACGCTGAGTATATAGTAATATTATCATTGATAATAAATATTATCAATAATGTAATAATGCTATCAAAAAGTTAATTTCAGTCCCTTTAGGAAACAAAAGCATCTATCTGATAGGTAGGTATACTTATCACCCTTCTAGGTGGGGACGGTCCGTAAAGCCTACGACTGCTAAAACGTCCAGATATAAAAAAAAAAAACGTTATGCACTCGTAAATGTTTTACAGTCGGTGGCGCTGTTGGCTGGGTCGGTCGTTCCGTTCCCTACGAAATGGTTGATCGGACCGATTGCTGGCCTACACTTTATACCCTTGGCACTGCTGGAGCAGGTCGGATCGCTCATCGTACTGGTGGGCTGGTCCAGTATGGTTAGTGTAAGATAATAAGATTATAAGAATTAGGTAACAACATAAAGTACTTTGTGTAGTGATATTAGTGGTTAGCGTCGCATGTTAGATCTTTATAACAATTATTTGACCATGAAAACAATGTACCTGTAATATGACAAGGGCACGGACACAAGTCCGTGAAGAAATACAATATTTAAAAAACAAACTACCTACCTATGTATAATATGTATAGACCAGTAAATAAGTAACACTAACACACTAATTAAGGTTACTAAAACATCAAGAAAAAGGAATCTAAACCTAATGATCATAATCTCAAGATAACATTTGTTCTAGTTATATCGAAAATGTTTTTCAGTTTTCACCAAATTAGTATAAAACAATAAGATATGACTAATAAGTAGCTGCATGATGAATACGAGATAACGAAACATTCTTGTCTTTTTGTCGTTTTTACATTGTTTTCCGATTATCTGCATTCATTAGTAGGTATCGGAAATGAATGAATGTGGGTTTTTAGAAAATCGTAATGGATTTTCTGGCATTTGCCCAAATATTTTGGGGCTGGTATCAAATCTTATCGGTTTTGGTTGGATCTATGAATGCGATCACTTTTATGGATCGAGAACCATTAGTCAATAAGTAATTTGTATCTTGCCCATATAAGGTAGATATTTCACGTGTGTACGAAAACTATCCTATAATAAGTAATGGACAGCGTGAACACCATCTTTTATGTAGTATCTAAGAAAATAAACTATTTTTTGCAGCACTTATCCAGACCTGTTCAGATCCTATTCCTTCCTATAAATGTGACTCCCGCACCCTCGTGCCCACGTGTAAGACAGGAAAGTCCCTTTTGTCCGCCCAAGGCCCATGCCAGGAGGGGGCTCCATAAGGATTTCTCACTTTGGGGTCAAAAAATAAATGATCCTATTTCTATTATTAGAACCAACTCCACATATCTTTTTGGGGAATCTGTGCGTGCTGTGTCATCAAAGCACTTGCTTTTTATTTTAAAGAACTTAAGTATAGGACCTATGTGCAACAACTTTTTGTCACTCATTTTAACAATTTCATCTCTCTTCGTAGCTACAGCTAACGAAATAATTACCAAAGACCACAGTGACTGATTTCGAATTCCTTTGTATTCTAAAGCCACGCTTAAACTCTAAACCAATAACTAATTACAAAATACTATATGTATAAAACACCTACCCGTAGGTCTTGGTTTCATCTCTATAGTAGTCACTTTGTTTTGAACCTCCATGATCACTTCACAATTAATAAATCAGAATGCCGAAGTAATACTACACGGAACAACGTTGTCACCGATTGTAATCGATACTAAATGCGTCAATACATCGATAACCCATTTATATGTATTCTTTATCTTAGATAAGCATTATGTACTAATAGTCATATTTGTGTCGCATCCCACAGGTGTTGTATATGGAAATATCACTCTTAATAGTGAAGAAAGAATGTTGGTATTCGTGTACGCGTTTTTGGCGTTTGTTATGGTGTAGAGATTTATAGTACTGTTTTGGGTATGCTCTATTATTACTAAAGGATAATGATTAGTGTTGTATTATGTTCATTATTATTGTATATTGACTGCTAGAGAATAATAAATCAGTTTACAAACAGAATATTGACCTATTTGAAATCTTGCTCGACACAGGAGAAACACCTAGTATGGCCCAACGCTTCAATAAAACAGCGATTGTCATAACAACTGAGTCAAGAAGCATGTTGTCTATATAAATCTTAAAATTTCTTGAATTTGATAACGTACTAAGAAAGGATTGTCAAAATTTCCCGGTTACCGCGAAAAGCAGGTGCAACGAATGAATCATCGCGTTTACTCATCATAGTTTGAGGTAGTTTAAAATAAATTTCATGGCGTATTGCCATGAAACAACAATGTACAACTTTGGAATGGGTTGTACAGTGCAACAAACGAGTAGATAAGCAAGCGTGGTGATTGATGTTAATTCCTTCTCCGTATATGAAGAGCGCATTTCTCAGCTGTAGGATAGTTGTACGCTAAAGATGATGAAACAAGTAACTAGATGGTAAGCAATCGGTCACCCCTCATGGACACCTGCAACAGTCGAGGAGTTGCAACTGCGTTGTCAGCCTTTGGAAAGGGAGAAAATCTATTACATATGTACCTATAGAAATGATTGGATTAATTACAAATCAATATGAAGAAACTGTGGAACTTCTTCATTTTATGTTTGTGGAGTTATCAGGCTGTCATTTGTGAGCAATAGATAGATAGATGATTCCAATATCTAATAGTAATTACTTAAAACTATGGAATTATATGGAAAATGCTTACGCAATATTATTCTGGAATGATGTAAGTACTGAGTTTTATATAGAAAATAATATACTTTCACCAATTTTAGTATAGAAACATGACATAATGTATCATGATGACGAGGTATCGTTGTGTCAACAAACAATGTTTATTCTTCCATGAGTCAATTTCGATTAGTAATTTAATCGATATTGTTGAAATAAAATGATAAAATGATGTAACCCGAAAAGTCTGGATGATTCTGCTTCCCAAATTTTGTATAATTTATTTATTTTATTTATTTATTTATTTTACATAAGTACAGATACAGACGACAGATTGAAATCGTACACAACAATCTTAATTATAAATAGTGAGCGAACCTGAAGTCCAATTACAGCTGTACATAACCCACTTATATCAAATTACATAACAATTCCCAAATGTTAATCCATTTTTCTGTAATAAATTTTGTTCAATTCTTGAAAACTAAAAACTAAAAATAATATGGACCTTATATCCATTTTTTATATTTTAAAATCAGATTTTTTTTCCAGAAATATAAGGTACAAATTGTTCAACTTTACTTTTAATTAATTATGACAGAGAACATTCCAAGGCGTCTAAATGCCGCCGGACATAAAACGAGACTGCTCAGTACTGATAGGTACTTTTAAATTCTGTATAAGACAACGTTAATTTATGTTTGATAAGTTTCATCATAGAGGTATGTGGGAAACCAAAATGGAAAATCTGAAAGGGAAGTACTTACAGGATTTCTGTAATGTCGTAGGAAATCTGTTTCCGAAAGATTTCAAGGACAACCAAGATTATTCTGCAAATGTACGCTAATAATATTTATTTTATTTTATGTACATACATACATAACTTCACGCCTGTCTCCCATGGGGGTAGGCAGAGATTAGGAAACGCCAATTACTACGATTCCTACATACCTCTTTCGCTTCATCAGTAGTCATCACTCTTTTGATGCATGCTCGTCGGTTAAGGGTACTTTTAATTTGGCCCTTGTTTAATATATTGCCAATGTGGTTATTTATTTTTTGTGTTTATCATAAAAACTAATTAATGCTTTTATTGTTATGGAGCTTTCTAGTCTTATCACATTCTGCTCAATTTAATCTGTTTACCTTATTTTCATTATTGCGTAGTAATTTTCATGTTGTTATCTTTATATGAATCAATGCCGCCCTTAAAACGCAATTAAAGTCCATTTACACGTTTATCTACATGTAATCTTTGTCAATTTGTCTGTTTATCGTTTGTTATATCAACGTAAACATTGGTGGTAAGCGGTAAGTGCATTGTACTTAATATGAAAGAGATTTTGGCAAAAATAATAGATATGACTATATCTTTATATATATAATTCTTCTGTGAGTGTGTAATATGTCATTGAACTCCTCCTAAACGGCTCGACCGATTTAAAAAAAATTTTCTGTATGCATTTGAGTGGCGTCCTGGATGGTTTAGATTCACAAACCAGCCCGGCAGATGGCGCTGCAGTCGGTATTTAGGTTATTTATCTATACCTATTACTATACTATTATTATTATATTATATGCGTCCTGCATATAATATAATAATAATACAACGTCTGTTGGGTCCGCTAGTAGTTATGTATAGTTAGACGACAAAAGCGACAAAATGAACTTCACTAGTTTAATCAGTGTTGCCGGCAGCACTAGCCGTCATGTTCACGCCCTCATCTGTCAAATGTGACAGTTTAAAGTTTCCCGCGCAAAAAGTTGTTACGTCCATTCTTTCTTTCTTTTCTTCTTTTTCTTTTTTATAAATGTTGCCCCACACTAGGATTTTCTCCTGTGTCGTGGGTGCGTTTACAAACATACAAGTTCACATACACATGACACCCAGACCCGAAACAACAGTCTGTGGATTACACAAAGAATTGTTCCGTGCGGGAATCGAACCTGCGACACGTTGCGCGGCAGCCCGTTGCCCAGCCACCGCGCCAACCGTGCAGTCAAATTCGGGTTGGAAGTTTCAACGAACATTACGCTGTTTCATATAAGAACTTTGGAATAAACATTTCAGTAATTACGTATCGAGTTTTAGTTATAAGTATGTAGCTACATTGCACTGTGCTACTGCCGGGCAAGGGGTCTCGGGTTCGATTCACGGGTCGGCCGAAGTATTACTGGGTTTTTAAAAATTCTCAGGAGTAGCACGGAGTCTGGAACTGTGCCCGGTATATGGCCACAGGCTCACCCCCTATTACATGGGACTCATAACATAAATAGTGAAAAGTGGGTGTTACATTGTACAGTGGCATAATGTACACCTCTGCCTACCTCTTCGGGAATAAAAGGCGTGATGTTATGTTATGCTACATTGCAGATACTTTGAACTGTGCTGTTGTCGAAATTGGACAACCCACAGAACGAAATATATGTTCATTCATATGAACATATAAATATATGTTCTGTGGGTTGTCGAATTCGGGTTGTGGGTTCTTCTGTCATATATATGTTCTGTGGAAGAAGCTAACTACCAAAACTGTCGCTAGTGTAATTTCAACTAATTTGAACTAATGATTAATTAATGGAATAGTGTAACATTGACATAGAAGTGACTATTTAGTTTAAACTGTGAAGTGATTAACAACGTATTTTCATTGTCAGAACAAGTATTTATATTTTAAATTAGACCAGTACAGGTATAAACAACATCATTGCAAGACCAAGAATATGCTAGCAGGTCAGTTAGTACAGGGACACTGGTACTATCCTAATAATGTCTTAATAATAACTAGCGACTCGTCCCGACTTCGCGCGGGTGCAATATGCATGTATATACATATATACCTTCCTTAAGAATCACTCTATCTATTAAAAAAAACTGCATCAAAATCCGTTGCGTAGTTTTAAAGATCTAAGCATACATAAAGACAGACAGATGGCGGATAGCGACTTTGTTTTATACTATGTAGTGATTATCTTTCCTGTTTCGTGAGTCGTCGTCCTTACAAACACTTTGTCAGAAAACGATCGTGATTGAAGACAACATTCTTGCATACATGCACTGGTGTATTGACGCGCCACACCTGTGTCCTACATTTTTTTATTTTCATCTTATTCATTTATGTTCTGTGATACTCACAATATGCATAAACCACCTTAACTTATCGTTCTCATTTTCTTATTAAGTCATTTCTCACGGTATCAGTTAAATTAAGCACGTTTTCAAGAAACACAAGACCGCCGTATTTGTTTTTCTTTCTGAATTTCATCTGAAATATGGGTACTAGAACACCGTCACAAATAGCCAGTAGAGATTGATCCAATCGAAAAATCCAATTTTTGGGTATTGACTGGTTAACCGCGACTACATGGACAACACCATTTTTTTTTAAATATTTTGACCCCACACTACCATTTTCTCCTGGGTTGTGTGTGCGTTTACAAACATACAAGTGTCATTCACATGACACCCTGACCAGGAACAACAATTTATGGATTACGTAAACAGTTGCTCCGTGCGGGAATTGAACCTGTTACACGTTGCGCGGCAGCCGCGCCTACTATTCAGTCACTTTAAAGTTTCCAGTATTGTCTCTTGAGAGCAAATTGCTTACTAAAACTAAATCGTTTACTTGTTCTACTAGACACATACTAGAGGTACATCTATTTGAACTTACACACTGACACATCAACATAAAACTTTCAGAAATCGACGCTTCACTCTTTTCCGATCATGTAATTAGTCGGCCAATAATACTAGAACACTAGAGGCGAAGAAAATATAAAGGAGGAATGTACCTACCTACCCAATGTGTTGTATCAACTACCTATTTTTGTCGATTTTCGGTTTAAGCCAGTTTCATTTTCATTACATCTGCAATTTTTGTTCGGGACCAAGATGGATGTACTAGGATGCAGTAAATACAGGAGATGTCTAGCTCACCGGTATCAGAGTTATGTGAGTGGGGGTTGTGTATGATGCGGATGCGTCGGTCGTGGTGCAGCGCGTCGTGCGGCAGGCGCCAGCGCGCGGCGTCGGCCTCGCGCGGCGAGCGCGGGAAGTACAGCGGCGCCAGCGCGCTCCACAGCGCCACGTCCGGCCCGCACCACGACCACAGCACCACCAGCGCCGGCGACCGGTGCGCCTCCAGGTGGCGCCTGATCGTGCCTGCGAAGTACATTTATGTAAGTGCCTGCAAATTATGTCGTAGCAATAAACGATGTTGTGATTCATTAAATAAAATAAAAATAAAGTGGTTGGTATCATTATCGTTATTATAATTAAGCTTTTTAGACCTGTTACTGGACGTAAGTGTTTATGTCATAATAATATTATTGTACTAAGATTTTCCATATCATCGCTTACCACCAGGCGAGATAGTGGTCAAATATCGGCCCATCAAATATAAGAAAAGGTAAAATACGAACAATATAAATATTAGCTTCTCATTAAAATTTTACGAAATTCCCAGCTAGAGCTGACTATAGGACCCTGAATTTTAGACTATTTAATGTCTTAAGTCTGATATGACTGTCTGTCATGATACAAGTAAGAAGTATTTATAAACTCGTCGAGTACCGTATTTATAGACACAATTAAATAACAATAGGTTGCGGTCACCGGTGACCGCTTGGTGTTTGACAGTTTAATAAACTTTTACCCGCGGTTTTGGTCGCATATTCTTGTATTATTCCATGACAACATTTAAAAACACAAAAGGAAAAACATCGTGAGGAAACCTGGACGTATAATTTCTAATTATAAATTTGAAATCGCCAACCCGCATTGAGCAAGCGTGGTGATTAATGCTCAAACCTTCTCCATGTGAGAAGATGCTTTGCTCAGCAGTGGGCATTTATAGGCTGTTGATGAACATTTAATCGGGATAAAAAGTAAAATAACCTAAGTCAGCCTATACCCAGCCTATATACCAAATGTCATCAAAACCTTTTCAGTAGATTCAGGTGACATTTATAATATGAGTGTGATTATAATACTCACGCAGAGCAACATGTGCAGCGAGGTCCGGCGGGAACTGCGTGCGTGTCCCGCTGATGAGGCACAGCGCTAGAGACCGAGCACCGATCTCCGTCGCCTTACAGAGCACGTTCCTGGAACACAAATAGTTTTCTTTTGTATTAGCCATCTAATACAGGCTATATATTAATGACTGACAAACTGCCTCGTTGACCGGGTGGTCGATGGGTTACTATCGGGCAAGGGGTCTCGGGTGATTAACCCGTCGTGTGTCTAAACGTGAAACCACGCGAGACACAATGTATTTTCTATTGTTTAAGATAAGCGTTTAAGATAATATTTTGTATTTTACTCATTTTATTATCAATAAACCTATAGTTGCCGATAAAAACTATTAAAGAGTTAATCCTCCGCTAGCGTCGGTCATCATTGTCCGACAGTGCAACCAATGTAATAAAGATTATACCTAGTTATAAACATATATACATAAAAGTAGATTTGTTAAGCCACATATTTCTGTGGTTTCTGCAGCTAGACAGATTTATAAGGCATGATTGGTTGTAGCTAAAATGATCTTGATGAGTTATAAAATGTACCTGTAACAGTTGTGCAGCGATGTTTCCGCTGCGGTGTGGTACTTGGCGACGTACTTGGGGCTGACGGTGTGGATGATGTGCCGGCACCGCAGGCCGAAGCCAGGAGTCACAACCACTTCGCCTGTGCGACATTCTGAAACGAGAAATATATTTTTATACTATCGTGAGACATACTAAATTAACTAAAATCGCGAGTTACTCACGTGAATATACTGAAAAAAGCTCTACTAGTCGCGCGGCTAACTGACGTCGCCGCGCACGCTGCTCATGAGCAAGAACCTCTCGGTGGTTCGAAACTAGTAGAGCTTTTCTCAGTATATTCACGTGAGTAAACCGCGATTTTAGTTAATTGGTAAATATATTTTTTAATTAAAATAACAATGCTTGTGTGAATACTATTACTAGAAGGTGTCGTAACAAGCATAAGATATCGTCACGCCTTTTTATCCCCGAAGGGGTAGGCAGATGTGCACGTTACGGCACTTAATGCCACTGTACAATGTAACGCCCACTTTTGACTATTTATGTTATGAGTCCTATGTATTAGGGTGTGAGTCTATTGCCATATACCGGGCACAATTCCTGACTCCGTGCTTGCTACTGCTGGGATTTTTTTCCAAAACCAAACCAAAAACCCAGTAATACTCTGCCCAACCCGGGAATCGAACCCGAGACGCCTTGCCCAGCCCAAGTCGCACTGGCGACCACTCGGTCAACGAGGCAGTGTCGTAACAAGGCAAGGGAAATAAACTAATTAGGTTTCCTAGTTACGTCAACAGATGGCGCTACTTGTGATGCATAACAGCATTAATATAGACAGTTTTAAATCAAGATTTTTATTGCGATCTCCAGCCTGACAAGCGTGGAGGTTGTGGTAGGTTTTCATATTACGTAAAGGAGGTTCATACTCCTGCAGTGGACTACCACAGGCGGTTTTAGATGAAGAATCTAAACAAATTTATAACTTGGAGTTTTTTCTCGCTGGCCGAGTAGTGTGACTGCTGGGCAAGGGGTTTGGTTCGATTCCCGGGTCGGACAAAGTATTAAAAATTCTCAGTAGTAGCACGGAGCCAGACTCCCATACCCGGTATATAGCAATAGGATCACCCCCTATTATATGAATAGTGAAAAGTAGGTGTTACATTGTACAGTGGCATTAAGTGCCGTAATGTGCACCTCTGCCTACCCCTCCGCGGATAAAAGGCGTAATGTTAAGATGAGGTTTTTCATCTATATGAAATAGTCTAATTTTACCACTTTTTGGTTGGAAGATAGGATAATAGAGGTAATAAGACGAAATTCCCATACCATATCCCCTGGTGATAATTTCTTCCTTGAGCTCAGGTCCCGCGACTTGGAGGATGCGTTCGTTGATCGCATTGCATTCTGTCAACGACTCGTCTGTGGTGTTCGTGATAGCATCCACTTCTAGGGAAGATATGTCACCTTGCCTGCAAAGATCAAAGTAAGTTTTAATTTCTATATTCCCGAGAAGAAAAGGTAAAGTTTTGGTTTTATCTTAGAATGGAAATAAAATGAGAAATTACGTAGCGCAGCATAGTGCGATGTAGCACAGTGTAGCGCTACGTAGCACAATGTAGAGTGATGTAGCACAGTGTAGCACTACGTAGCACAGTGTAGCATGGTGTAGCACAGTGTAGCGCTACGTAGCAAAATGTAGCGTGATGCAGCACAGTGTAGCGCTACGTAGCATTGTGTAGTGCTTCGTAGCGTTACGTAACGAGAAGTAGCGTAGCGTGGTGTATGTTGTGTGTGCTGTTAACCCGATTGAGATAAAGAGATCACTATTATCAATTGAGAAGGAACTCAAATAAAAAAAAACGATTATAACTAATTCTATGAGTCCTATTTATATCCAAAGAACATAACATATTTACTACTTACCATATAGCAAACCGGCTATTAATATGATCGTCATGGAGGAACACGGGATGCGTGTGCGCGGGAGTGTTGTCATAGTCGGCCTGGTGCGCAGGCGCGGAGTGCGACCACCGCGGCACTCCTGCGCACGACACGCCGCCCCCTGCTGGCGCGCGCATCACGCACACCTCCGCCTCTGAAGATAAATAAATAGAAAATATAAGATAATTTTGTAAACACAACAATTTAAGATTTTTTGATTACATTTAAAATTATTAAAGATATTCCAATGTTAGGTATAGTCAGTCAGGAGATTTTAGGTTTCTATCCAGTGGCCTCAGGGAAGACGGTAGTACAGTGGTCACGTGCTGCCGTGCAAAGCCATGAGCAAGGGACACGGAGGTCTCCCTAGGAATGTGCTCTAACAGGCGTTGCACCGTGGGGGCTCCGGAGCAGGTCTCTTCAAAGGACCCGGAGACCCTTCTTACAGCTGCTGAGGGTGGCCACCGAGATGGTTTTAGTGAGGTACGAATCCCACACTCCCTAGTCTTTCTCCCCAAAAAGCTAGGCGACTCTTGAAGGTTTCCCCCATAAAAAAAGGTATAGTCAGTCAAGTTTTTCGGATATAGGTAAGAAAATATAGATTAATTCAGTTACGAACACAATTACGATTGGTTATGATCCTTAATAAGTAAGACTTTCTATGATCCACACTGAAACTATAACATGATTTACGAGGAAAGAACTACAAGACACATTAAAACAGATAGCCTCTAAATTTTATTAATTTTCATTACTTTTCAGCAGTACACTTTCGTCACTTGATACAAGACAAACATACATAACATCACACCTTTTATCCCCGAAGGGGTAGGCAGAGGTGCACTATACCACTGTATAATGTAACACCCACTTTTCACTATTTATGTTATGAGTCCCATGTAATAGGGGGTGAGCCTATTGCCATATACCAGGCACAATTCCAGACTCCGTGCTACTACTGAGAATATTTAAAAAACCCAGTAATACTTTGCCCGACTCGGGAATCGAACCCGAGACCCCTTCCCCGGCAGTCGCACTTACGACCACTCGGCCAATGAGGCAGTCAGAGAGCAGTTGATACAACAACCGTCTATAAATAGACGACAATACAATTCTGAACAGCACCTACCCCAACGTTAGTCAAAATTGGTTTCCCATTTACAGTTTGATGAAGGGAGCCAATAAAGCACTATATCAATTAGGCCGTCAGTTTAGCCTGATGGAGCGATAACAACCAGCTATTAGGGTAGTTACAGACACGAGCTATTCTGAGCCATCCAGTTAATTCAATCGATGGTGGACGGCATGTCGTAATTTGTAATACGATGGATGGGCTATGTGTGTATGTATGTGATGTACGTCACGATTGTAACGGTTGCTGTTGTATTGTGTAGCTGTGCCCGCGACTTCGTTCGAGTAAAATAGTGATTTACTGCGCTTTACGCCAGTGGTGGTAGCGTGATAATATGTAGCCTATATGTTGACCCGACCTGTTAGTAATAACCATAGAAAATTTGAAGTAAATCCATGCGTAATTTGAAGTATTTTTTGAGATCATCCCGGACATACATACAGACAAACAGACAGAAATTTAAAAACGTTATTTTCGGCTTCAGTATCGATTGTAGATCATGCCCAAAGTATTCTTTAAAAAAATATTCAATGTACAGTTTGATTTTTCTACGATTTTATTATATGTATAGAAGATGGTATAATATGTCCGTTTGACATGGTTATTTTTAACCTACTTCAAAAAATGGAGGAGGTTCACGATTCGACCGTATATATGCTTATTTTTTATGTTTGTCCCTGTTATCTGTTAAGTATTAATACTGTATCAATTTTAATATTTTTCGACGAATTTATTACTAGGGTGTTCGGATCGCAGAAGGTTATTGTTATAAATATCAGCGTTTATTCATGCGATCAATTTCACAATCAAGAAATTGAAGAAAATGAAAGACAATATTGAAGACTTCGTTTCTTCTAACAAGCTTTTTAATTAATGACGATATTTTTATTGTAACAAAACATTGGTATAAAGTAAAAAAAATTGCAAACAAATTTTCATAAGCCAATTAATTGTAATCAAATAAAGAAACCTAAAATTCCTCTAAACCAACAGATCAAGTAAGAATACACCTGGATTACATTGTGCTGAATCTTCCAAAATACTTTAATACCTACCAGGGTATTAGCAAAGGCTTAACATTCACAATCATTAACGTTTGCAACCCTACAAAGGGTTTAAATACATTTCCGGACAGCATTAAACTCCGGCTTATCCCATTAGTACCCCATTAAGCCTCATTTTACAGTTCAACAGACCATTCATGGAGAAATCGACCTACATTCCAGACTGAAGTACTAGGATCACAGAATCGAATGGAACGTAAAATTGAGCGACAGAAAACTGACATTCGTATACAATATTGGACCTTGAACACTCAGATAAAAGGATATTTTCGCATGAATTGCTACTCTAAAGTAGACAATGAAATTGCAATGTAATTTCGTTCGGCTAGTAAATAGGACACGCAGTCCTGTGACGTCACAGAGTGCACTATCTCACTCGCACAATAAAGGAGAAAAAGATAGCAGATTCATTGATGTTGGAAAATCTATTTTTTGTACCTACTACGACAGTAGAGCGGTGTACGTCATTCATTGCAGATGTACTATTTTTAGACCTTAAAAGAATTTGATTAAACAAAGACTATTTTTTTATAGTATAGGTAAGCCGGTAAACGAACAGACGGATCAGATGATGGTAAGCAATCGCCGCCCATGGACACCCGAAACACAAAGGCGTTACAATTGCGTTACCGGCCTTTTGAGAATTGGGAATTTGAGGATTGTGGAGAATTCGGTGATTCGGTAGACTAGGGATAATAGGTAATTGGGCCTCCTTTTTGCGTAATTGCTTCAGAGGAACAAATAGTTTCTTTCTTTCACTTAGAAGTGTGTATATTATGTCTGTATCATAATCATAGTAGGTACGTAGGCTTTCCATTTATACAGACAAAGTAAATTATTAAAATTGATTTCTAGAATCGTTTACAAGGCGACAGAAGCAACTAGAACGAATGGTTTCGTTACTAAAATACCAAACATTGGAATCAATGGAACATTAATGTTGATACTAGGAATTCATGATTCTCAAGGGCTTTTGCATAAATTATACAGTGTCGGGTCTCAGAAATTGCAATGTTTAGCATGGGGGCTCTATTCAAACAAAGGTAGAATGATGATTTATGGTAGGTAATGGAAAGGACATGTGTTTGCAGTAATCTTATATCTTATACTATTATATATAGCGGAAGAGTTTTTGTGTTTGTTTGTTTGAATGCACTAATCTCCGTAACTACAAGTGTGATTTGAATAATTCTTTTTGTGTTGGATAGCGCATTTATCGAGGATGGCTATAGGCTATAAAACATCACGCTACGACCAATAGGAGCTGAGCAGAGCGTGTGAAACCGTGCGGAAGTAGCTACTACGAAATAAACCTGACTAATATCTAATTATTATTTTTTCAATACAATGTACTAACGTTTTACTCGATTACATTCTTCATTATTTTTTTAACCAGAAGAGCTGACGGATCACCCGATGGTAAGTAGGTAATCAGCGCCGCTTATGGACACCCACGACACAAGAGAAGTTACAAGAAAAATGGCCGCTTTAAAAATGAGTTCGCTCTTTCTTCTGGAAATACTCCAGAAGAACCACTTTTTTTATTTCCACACAGTTTAATCTGCAATGGATCTACGGAAAAAGCTTGCTTCTTATTTATTTAGAACAGTGTTTTCCAACCTGTGAGCCGAGACCTTCTCGGGGTCGTAAGCTTAGCAGCTTCAAATTTTTAAGTATTTGTTCCCGTCAAAAGAATTTTTAATGTATTAAAAAACAGTATGAACTTAGTATAAGACTGCTGCATTTTGCATAATTAACCCCTCGAGCGTCCTTATGAGCACCCGGTGGATCATAAGAAAAAATGCTTGATGCTGCTTTCTCTTTTATAAAATCGATTATTAATGTTTTGCTTTTATTTTGACTGTATTTGTTTTATTTCTATTGTAATGATCCTTGTTTTCGTGTGCCAATAGCCAAATAAATGCATTTTCTTGCATGCATAAGGATAAGGAAATGCATAAGGAACGGGGACGCTCGACGGGTTAAGAAAAGTTTCCAAAAGGGTTTATTCTATAAAAAAAAATAGCAAAGAGTTATGCAAAGGTTGTCAAACCTTTTTTAGAGCAGAAAGCTTGAATCAATATTTTACGAAGTTAGCATTGTCATACATACAATTTGGGAATGCTGCCAATATTCTGGCAACTAACAAGTAAGTATATTATAGAGATGCTCCTTGAATTTTTATTGTCAATGTGATTTTATGAAATGTAATTTTCTATTTTTACTTTTTTATTAAAAAAAACGTTGCCCCCCACTAGAATTTTCTCCTGTATCGTGGGTGCGTTTACAAACATACAATACTAGCTTTTACCAGCGGCTTCGCTCGCGTCACAAAAGGATAAAAAGTAGATTATGTGACATATACCAATACACACAGCGCCATCTATACCAATTATTTCGTTTTCCCTCGAGAATATCAAATTTTTCCGGGATAAAAAGTACCCTATTATTTAATCCAGACTTCTAACTTCACGTCTGCAAAAAATCAAAGCAATCGGTTTAGTAGTTACGGCGCGAACGTGGAACAAACAAACAAACAAACAAACTCACTTTCCGATTTATAATATTAGTAAGGATCACATACACATGACACCCAGACCCGAAATAACAATTTGTGGATCACACAAAGAGTTGCTCCGCGCGAGTTCGAACCCGCTACACGCTGCGTTACCGAGCCACCGCGCCAATCGTGCAGTCATTGTAATTGTAAAGACAAAGTAATAGTACAAAAGAAAATTGTACGTAACGTAAAGAATAGAACTTCTATTTATAGGTCACACAATCCATACTTCCGTCAGCAATTTGATTCGTGATCCATCAAGCAACGAATGAGCTACAATAAATGAAACATCTGATGTATACCCTCAAAATCATTTACATACAAATAAATTCCAATCGTAACTTCCTATCCTTCTTGTACTTATCGAGGACAACATTTAGAGGCATTTTTACGAGGGAACGCAATATAAATCGATTAACATTGTCTTTGACACGAAACATTGCGATTTTGTACCGAATTACTGAAAAAACTGTCGAGGGACGCATGCAAAGAAATCAAGCACAGAGTTTATGTAGCCGTACCTACTTACGCGTAATACGAAGTCTGAAGGTCATGTCTATGGTAAAAATGTGTTACATAACATACAAAGGGAATTTTCAGTTAATAGTATTGCGTGTTTGTTGAAATTAGGCTTTGAAATACCTACATTCTCTTTGTTAGAAACACTAGTCTAAAAATTCTAAACATTTTAAAATTATTTTTTCATTGCGCGTTTAAAACGGTAGTTCTATAATAATAAATGAAGAATAAATGAAATCTCACCTAAAATCGTCATCACAATTCGTTCACAGAATCAAATCACACAAACACTCACTGTATTAAAAAGTTTAATTAATAACAGAGACGTCCGAACGGCGCGGAACGCGAGCGGCATGTGACCTCGAACCGGCAGGATAGGAACACACCCCCGGGTGACGTGTGGGAGGGGTGGGGGTGGGCCGGTCGTGACGTCACACGGTCGACGACCCGCGGAAGTGGGTCATCGGGTTGGTCGATCTGCCAGTTTTGATAGAGCCTTTTGTAATTGTCTCTGCGTTACATAAGTCGTGTCACTTGAATTGTCATTGAGGGTTTGATCATTGGAGTACAAGGTCGTTCTGATTAATTGATTTTCAATCAAATATTCTATAAGAGTTTAATGTTGCCTGTACTTATGTACGTGTATGGTGAACGTTTAATAATAAAGTATGATTTTTTATTACCGTTACATAAGCACATAGAAAATGCATTATGTGGGATGATTATAAATTGACTGCCTCGTTGGTCGAGTGGTCGTAAGTGCGACTGCCGGGCAAGGGGTCTCGGGTTCGATTCCCGGGTTGGACAAAGTATTACTGGGTTTTTAAATATTCTCAGTAGTCGCACGGAGTCTGGAATCGTGCCCGGTATATGGCAATAGGGTCATCCCCTATTACATGGGACTCATAACATAAATATCCCTATTTATGTTATGAGTCCCAAAGTGGGTGTTACATTGTACAGTGGTATAATGTGTACCTCTGCCTACCCCTTCGGGGATAAAAGGCGTGATGTTATGTTATGTGTATGATTATAAATTGACGCCTTTTAGTATTATTTTCTTTAAGTATGTAGTCGTTTGTGCGGAGTCACGTGTGAAAATGCATTAAGCGTTTAATAAATAATTAAATACCCTGCCGTGATGTCGCACAATACAATAATTTTAAGTATAGCTTGTAAAAAGATTCATATTTTTGTTTTTAACTGTACTTGTATCGACAGTTCCAGTTTTCTGCGCGACGTTATCAACGTTCAATTAATTAAATAAATGAAAAGTATTGCTATCATACGTGAAATGCATGAAACAAATTAAATTTATAGTAATTGCTGTCTGTACATACGAACAACGTAGCTACTTAGGGTACCTGAGTGTAATGACAATAACTTTAGTTCATTTTGTTGAACCTTTTTTTTAAGGGGGGAAAATCATCAAATGACTGCTCCCGCCTGGGTGAGGCGGGAGGGAGTGTCAGACTCTTACTGACTAAAAACCACCCCGTTCCTTCTCCTGCCCGTTACCCGTTTTGTTTTTTTTACTTAGTTGTAAGAACACATTGTACTTAGGTTCGAAATCTTATATTGTTGACGATATTATATTGAATTATAATATACCTACATTACATCAAATGCCATCTAGTGAGTAACAGATATAACTTTCTTCTGTTTTACTTTTTTGTGAGTGTAACAAATTGATTATTACGTTTATTGTATCGATCCCAAGACCCTTTGCCCGGCAGTCGCACTTGCGACCACTGAGCGAAGGAGGCAGTCGAGTATGTAGTACAGTATATGTATAGACCTTCCTCGATAAATGCATTATCCAACACAACAATAATTATTCAAATCGGATAAGCAGTTCCGAAGATAAGCTCGTTCAAACAAAGAAACAAAAAAAAAAAACAAACAATTTCTTCATTTCTTTATAATAGTATAGTTTTTTTAAGGGGGAAAAATCATTGAATGACTTCTCCCGCCTAGGTGAGGCGGGAGGGAGTGTCATACTCTTACTGACTAAAAACCACCCCGTTTCTTCTCCTGCACTTCGAGCCGGAGTCCCGGTAACTCGTTAGGTTCTCCGCGACTCCAAAATATAATAGTACAGTAGAGGATTTTATAAAATTTGTAAAAAATAATGCTTGTTATTGAAATGATAAGCAAACGAGATTAATTTACAACACGAGATTATTTCACGAAATAGGAGATAAACAATCAACTGTAATATTATTTAACAATGTACAAGTATTGATTAGCCTACCAGAAGCCCTGGGAAAACATTTTCCAAGAAAACACGAACGCCTTCACCTAAAAATGGCCACAGATAAGCACGAACTTCGTATAATCTTCGTAAATGCACCGCCATTTTGTTACAAAAGCGCGCTAAACCGCGTTCGAACGTTCTTCCTACTAGATATATTCTCTCTGGAACACTACAGTTTTAGATTAAACTTTGTACTTACTTATTTAACTTTTACTACATCGGAATACGAAACTGAACTTGTTTTATATATAAACTTTGATAGACCTGTCTGTGAAGTGAAGGGATATTTCGAGAACAAGGAACGTCCATTAAAGAGGTTTCTGGAAGAAGGAATTAGTTATTAGTCACTTAAAAGACATTTTTTTAAGTTGTATGCAATACTAATTATAATAAATTGAATGAATATAATCGTATTATCATTATTATTAACTGAGAAAAGTTTTTTTATTAGAAACTAAGTTTCAATAAGCTAGAAAGACTTTTTTAATGTAGATAGACTTTAAAGCGGTTTTTGTATTGAATACAGCGGTTCTTGAATAAATAGGACTCGCTAATAAAAGTAAATGCAACGTAGTTGTATCAAATCAACGATATTTACCGGGATATCAAGTCATATTTTTCTTTAAAATCAGCTTCTATTTTAGCATGAACATTGAGTATATCTATCCTAATACATATATTATGGTAACCACAACTTATCGGCTACATTTGTACTGTACTGCCGTCCTACTTTGAGTAGGTAATGGACATTTTCCGGCTGATATGTGGACCTCGTTTTGGATAAGCGGTTTGTTGGTTGGGCCCCAAAATATGACACGCTCTATAGTGTGGTTATCAGGCTATTTTATGTAGGGTTTTTTGGGACACAATTTCACTTCCTATAGAAGAGAAATATTGATGGCAGAAAGGCTTGCGAAACCTGGCATTTGCATTACTGGTTTTTAGAGTTAAATGACACATAGCATGACATGCTACATTTTATAATAAGGTCATGCAAAAGCACAGTTAAAAAATGTGTGCCTCCATTTCAAACTATGGTCGTAAATCTAATTATGTTTTTTCAATCACGAACGCCAGGCGGCTACAGTCTCCTTTATAAATTCATCAACATTGTCGAAGGAATTCCTGTGACGAAAGCATCCTCATTTATTAAATACTTTACCGTTTGCATGAGCAATATTTAAATTAAAAATCTGTTTCGAACTTTTCAATGAAAAATTTCAGGACCGGCTCTCGAGCGGTGACCTCGACCGTACCTATTTAGGATTTTTGTATTTTACGTTTCGTTATTCTTCAGCGTTTTATGGTGATTTACGAATATTTAATGTCCTTTGATAAAATTGTAAAAAGAAAGATGAGATGTTTCATTAGATTAGCATTATAGGTAAATGGATAAAGTTTGGTATTATAACAGAGTGAACAATTGGAAGTGGCATCTGGGTGGCTCAGATCGGCGCTTACCTTCAGGGTATCCGTCTGCGTAATAAAAGAAGATAATATTTAGGATATATTAAGCCTTGCTACAATGCTTAACATAACCTAAAAATGATCAAAAGGAAAATTTGCAAAACTGATGAAGTCACACTATGTACAGTCACCATTCCAAAATGTATTATTGTAGTTGCAAGCCAAACATTAGACGTTAGCCTACAAACCAAAAGCAGACTCGTTTGCCAGTACTTTTCACGTCTCTATACTAATCATTTCTGCAAACTGTTAACCAAGTTAGTACATAATTTTGTCATCAAACTCATCGAGGAAACGTGACCTCATTCAGCACGAGTAAAGCCACACAAAGCGGTTGTATCGTAAAATGGTGTCATTGTTGTAAAAAAGACAATGGACGGATCCAGCGGATAATCTTAATGTACAGACGATGGCATATCAAGCTACACTAACAGTTTGACGCATTTTGAACTTAACAACTGTGTAATAAAATTGAAAATGAATTGAAAGTATTTTGCGGTTTTGGGTATCCTGTTGTCCTAGCTGTTGTAGTCCATATTTGAACTCAATTGTTTACGGTTGGATAGATATTTAACGTTGCTTTGTAGTTTGGTAATTGAAGCTCAATGTCAACAGAGTTTTGAATCAATTTCATTTGTGTGGTTTTTGGGACATTCGTCTTTTTGCAATTTTGTGAATTACGCTAGTGCATTGGTGTATTTGGAAGCCTTGATTTCAGTATATAATTTTTTCAGTAAATAGAAAGCTATACTACAAAATTCACAGCTTAGTCGACTGGAAAAGAAATTGAAGTTTTTAGCAAACAATGCTTTGTGGTAGGAAAAGATACCACACACAGCGATACTTTTTTAAATCCCTCTTCACATGAAGCTTTTGTGCACAATAAGAACTGTGGAAGAATCTAATCTATTCATTCTTGCACTTTCTTAAAATGTAGTCGTATAAGATTCTGGGTTAAAAATTGTGGATTTAAAATGTTACAAAACAGACTCAAACTTCATCTTGTTGTCGAATTCAGAAAATTCTATTAAGGTATTGTATAATTAGTAGACCTTAGGATCATACTAAGAAAGCCCTATCTCAGAAATAATTAATGAAACAGGAGGAAACGAGCAAAAAAATGAAGATAAATACAATAGATTTATGATGAAATTAAAACAGTTTCTACTAAATAAGGCCTATTATAGTATTGAAGAGTATTTTAAAGAAAGATTATAACAAACACACATTTATAGGAGCACACAAGTAATGTGTCTAAAGACATACAGTACTGTGTCTACAGACCACAAGTACACTTGGTTAAAGGTACGG